ACACACACACACACACACACACACAGATCTGTCTGGTGGTTTTCCATTGTTCATAGGATAAAAAGAAAACATTTCAATAGAGCCTGTAAAGCTCTGCATGCTTGACACCTAATTACCTCTCCAATTTCAATTTGTGCTGAATCCTATTCTTCATAGCCCACAGCCTCTTTTTAGTCATCTACTATTTAGCATTCTGCTTCCATCCCAAAGGTGTTAACATGTTCTGTTGCCTCTACTTAGAATGTTTTCCCCTCCTTTCTTCATTTGATTAAATTCTATTCATCCTTCAGATCTCAACTCATGCATTACTTATTCAGGAGTCCTACCTTCTCCCACCTTCATACCCAGCTCAAACCAATCTATTCAAGATCATTATGATACCTCATACTTCTTCTTCATAGCACTTTAAACAGCTGTAATTTTGCGTGTGTGTATATACATAATAATGTCTCCTTCCTTACTAAACTGTATGATCAAGCACCTCATCTTCTGTTTCTCACCATGATAGTCTCAGTCTCTGATATAAGGAAAAACACAAGGTAGGCTAACTAAATAAGCGACTGTGGGGATGAAGAGATAGCTCAGCTGTCTAGGCATCTGCCTGGCAAACTCAAAGACCCAAGTTCAAACCCCGGTACCACATGCCATCATGGCCCTGGAACCCCAGGCATGCCATGCCGGCCCCCAGACCTTGTATGGTGGTCCTTAAGAGATAAAGAAGACATAAAAACTGAAGAATTCAAATTTTGCTTTGGGGCATGGATAATAGTGGTGATATTTACAAAAATTGGAAAATTTGGAAAGCAGCCTCATTCACAAGAAAAACATCCCATTCAAACTTGGATAAGTAGAATTTGGGATGAGGATGGAACATCTAAGCAAAAACAGTGCATAGTAAAATTCAAAACTGAGCCATAATATTCCTCCAACTCAAATCATCCAAAATAAAATCATGCATATTTACATTAGGGAAATTAGCATTTTCAATTTATCCACCTGAAAAGCACATTACCTATTGACTTAGGAATAATTGTGGTAGTAGATAATCTACTAACTTATTTCACTGTCTTGCACAGTAAAATTACTTTTAATTTGCATATCAAGGGATTCTGAAATATGTGTAGGATGCTGTTTAGGATCCTGTGGTCATTGGCAAGTAAAATGAGTGGCACACAGAAACCTGCAACTGACTATATAGGTGAATTGCTAAAAGCACACACATTCGTAGGGCCAAAAGGCAAAGTACTAAAAGCAGGATTCTTTACCTTTTACCACATTGCTTCAGTGACCAGAGATTTATATTCTATTATGCCTTGTTAACAAACCAGTGTATTTCAGCTGCCTAATATTTATTTCAAGCTTTTTGCTTTTAAATATATCCATGACTGCAACTAAAAAGAGATTACTCTATTTGTATGTTGATTTTCATTTTCTCAAATGGGTTTTTAAAAATTCCAGCGTGGCTTTGCAAACCTCTATTAAAGTGTTGCTTCTAGTATATATAAGAAATGTGGCATCCTAGAGCCTGAATCACTCTCTGTGAATATACTAATTGTTAATAGAAAGGTTCATAATTTCCACTCCTTTATGAGTGATTAGTCATTGAGGTGCATTTACTTTTGGAGAAAAAAATAAAACACTAAATATCACAAAAGCCTAAGTTATCTTCTTCGATGCAGCATTTAAAGGGCACCATAAGAGTAAGCTATAACA